AAAAAATTTTAAAAAAAAAAAAAAAAAAAAAAAGTTTGAAGGATCCTGTGTTCGGACCCCAGTAAGGCTGTCACACTTCTCTTTCTCCCGATACAAAATTAAGGAGCTGAGTCAAGTCTGGATTGTAAATAGTAGTGTCTTCCGGTTGAAGACTAAGAAAAAGGAGGGAGGAATGAAGCAAAACTAACCTAATACCAAGAATGACTAATTTAGCTTTGTCAGTGATCAATTCACCTGTAATATAAGCAAGATTGCTAAATCTGGGATCCGACGACCTAGTAAAATGACCACATCCAGAGAATGGGTGATTGTGACATAACCGGTCATAATTATCACGCCTGGAGCAGTCTAGATTGACAGGAAAATATTATTTCTTAAATTTGATGCATGATTTATTATAAATCATGTCTGTTAACTTCATGAAACATCAAAAAACGATTGATAGTTCATGCCCTTATGCTATCCTATCAGACACCCCTGGACAGCTGGCTTACTGTCAGAAATTGGAATGAAAACAATCTCTCACTTTTGTGATTTTGTGAATTTTCTAAATTTGGTGGTTTCTAAATTGTTGAGCCAGTGTCTGACCATCTGAAATTTGACCGTGGATATATAGAACAGTCTCATGTCAGAGGTTGTATTATCACCAGCTGCATGAATGTGCAGTCTTGGCCGCCCTTAAAACGAACCCCGTGTATACTCTATATATCTATAGTTTTTAATTGAATATTAAACAATGAATAGTGAGGATAACAAGAAACACTTGCAAAAACATAGAAAACGTTGTTTTTCATTTTACTTTATTCTCTATCTGAGTAATAAATGTGTTACTGCAAATGGGTAACTGGTTCCTAAATGCAGGTGTATTACCCATAGGCATATGCGCCGTTGTGCCCAATCTGGTAAGTACGGCCACAAAGAGAAGAGGCATTCTTGGATTTGTGTCTATTGTGATCATGACGACCAGCAACTAGACATGGAAACGTGGCATTCTTCACTCTCTACATCGAAACCACTTCGATATATGTAGATTACCTGATGTAATGATAGGCCTGGTTGTTTTCCTTGTTTCAGGAAGTCGGAATATTGACATGATTCGTATAAAGCGCACTGAAGTTTTTAGGGTTGATCGGAGCAAACGTCAACATTAAGGAAGAATATTCATTGTACTTACAAGTAGCATATCTTTATCCTTAAAACCCATTTCATCGTCATTACTTGGTTCGAAGTCATATATAGCCTTAGCTTCCATCTTGGAAGGGATGAGACTCAAAGCCGGAAGTAAACTGTATGAAACTAAGGGAGATAATCGATAAAAAGCCCGAGTTATGTATGATCTTGACATGTTTCTTGATATTTATCATGTTTTCATTCCTTTTAAAATATTTTAAGACGAAACTAACAATAGTGACTCGTTTAACCACAAGGCCAGACAACTGATGCAAGCCACAACACGGACTGGGTGTTAGAAAGGCAAACCGAAAGTAGAAGTCCTTCGTCGTTTCTCGGCTTTGAATGTTTCGTACCACCGACAATCCGTAACAGTCAACCCGTAAATTTATCTTGGTACGGGTTGACTGTGACGGATTGCTGGTGGTATTGAACAACTGGGTCCCGTACTAACAGGTTCCATAACCTTACTTAGTTTCTTCTGATTTTGGGGGGAAAATATTTTTATCAGCCCAGCAGATCGTGACGTCACGCGATACCCAAGTGTGGAATTGCTGTGTTGAAAATTGTTTCTTCTTAGATTTCTCATGTGGTAAAAATGTCCATATTGCTCCTCATTATCTTTCTTGTATTCTTCAGCTGTTCGTGTCCGTTTTTATCGTACAAGTACCGATTTTTACTTCAGTGCAGATTATTTGAATGCTGAAAGTCATCTTGTTCCACCTTATTATGACTACTGCAGAAGTAGATTCGACCAAATCCATCATACAGTCTTTAGTCATTACAAACGAAACCTAGTTGATAGTCCCATGTGTATACTTCTTATCAGTCTGCTGAAACAACAGAACACTTCCTTCTCTTCTGTCCAAAATACCAACAATTAAGAATATACAATTTGCTTTTGAAGGTTTTCGATAATTACATATTTTCATGCAATTTAATCGTTGATAACTTGTCTTTTATTGATATTTTTATTTGTATCTTGTAATTTCTTACTTTATTTCTATGTTTTGTTCATTTTACCTCTTATAACTTTCTCCCTGAACAAAACCACTATTGTGGCGTTTTTAACAAATTATACTCAAAGATTAACACCGTAAATACGTCATGTATAATGTAAATGATTTAATAATCTTTGCTATCTTCTTCATCGGATACAGTGGGAAATGTCTCGACATTTCGGCAGATCTGTCGGAGATACATTGACTGCATCAAGCACGCCCACACCGAGTGTATAGTGGTATTTGACCGTTGTTCGTCCGAAAACACCCCGTTTAGGACGACGAAAGACATTTTCTTTGCAAACAATACAAATAAAGAAAATGTTATCATTCTGTTGAGGAAATAGATGTCCGAAAGTGGAATTGATACAAAAAAGGCAATGTCTGATGCAGATGTTCAACATTGTCAAAGCCAACCGTATGTTTGTGAAAAGACACCGACTTACTTGTGCTGCTTCTCTTCCATCTAGATTTGGCATACATTCAGCCGCTGTACTTCAGATCAGATCATGATTCCAGAGGGAAAATCAAGATGTGGGACGTACGAAAGACTAAAACTGTTATTGGACACGATATTTGTGGGGTTCTGTCAGTTATCCACGCAATAAGCGGCTGTGATACCACTTCTAGGATGTTCGGAATCAGTAAAGCTGCAACGCTAAAGTAGTATTCTTGAAGTCACAATCACCTGACTTTTTTAAAGCAAAGTACGAAAGTACAAGTGATTAAGTCTGGAGAACATTTGGTTTACTGCTGTATACGACGGAGTGATTCATGAAGGTCTGGTGAAGAATCTTAACATAATTACATTATATTGTATCAAAGTATCATAATACATTTCGCTGGGTATTGGGACATTATGGAATACCAGGTAATGAAAATGCATATCGTGTCGCGAAAGCAGCACTATTACTACCACCTGAAGATTTTAAACTTCATTTTACTGATTTTAAACCACTTAATTAAAACATTTATACGACCACAGGAAATAACAATTGGAATGAATGCGTCGATAACAAAATAGATCCTATTTAACCTGAACTCAGTGAATGGCAACAGTCCTTGCTACAGGGAGAGGCGCCGAGACGAGGTTGTCATTGCCCGTCTCCGGATTGGTCACTGAAACGTGAAGACCAGCCTCAATGCATAGCGTATCAGGAACCATTTACAGTATAACACTTGCTATTAGATTATGTCGACCTTCAGTCAACACGAGAACATTTCTATAATAACATTACATGTCTCTTTTTGAAAACATAATTGCTTTTCAATTTTTGGCTATCTGAAAGCTGCTGGTCTTTTAAATACAATTTGAGTCACCATAGCTACTTTCAATATTCAAATTGACGTTTATTTGTTACCTTTAAGTTTTTTATGTTTTTATTTTGCATTTGCCTTTGTCCATTGGTGGCCCTTATGACCTATCCTGTGTTGAACGGCCGTTGAACATTTAGTACTAAAAAGATCTGGACCTGCTAAGATATCGGAAGTTTAACAAACACATTTTAAACATGTGTTTAGATACACACGATGGTCACTTTGACTGTCGTTAGTTTCTAGCATGGGGACATCCATATGGTTATTTTTCGAGTTCAAATAGCATCAGAAAACGTACATATTTCAGACTGAAAGTTGATTTTTTTGGTTACGTTGTTAAAATATGGCGCGTGCGAGGACTATGCGTTCTGTTTCGGAATGTAGGAATAAATTAAATACTTATATTCATTGAAATTTCAAAACCCATTAAAAATGCTAAAATGGTGACACACATGTTCATTTCAAGTGTAAGATATTGTTAAATTCAAGTCGTGATCCGTTTTTGGTACTGACATTTGCAAAAACCGGAAACGCTAATCGGTGACGTCAGAGTGTTCTATAAATATATCACGTGAGCCCCGGGTGCTAAGTTGGTAAGGTCAGCTACAACCATACATGAATATAATTCTTTCTCTGGATTTACAATGAATGCATTAAATGACGGTTTGGTGATCCATTTTGGGAACTGTCATTCTGAAACCTTTATCTCTTGGAACCGGCATAAGTCATCTCGTCCATACTGATATACGATATATTGTCTGAAAACTAATGTTACTATTCGACTTCGAGATACATTTATTTAAAAACGTTTTACGAGTGTTCAATAATTACTATATAGAACTTTCAGTTAATTCAGGACTCTGATAAAACAAATCTGATTTAATGTCATAATTATAAGTCAATTCGTCCCAATTATTACTATTTTAAACACGATAACATGTTATGTTATATTATGTTAATTCCATTTTATGATATCATAAATTCATTTAATGATATCATAAAATCGATTTAATGATATCACATTTTGTGAATAAATACCAAAACGGGGCCCATACAGTTCTCTATTGTTTTTAATTACTCGTTGTACAGTTGTTGTCTTGGTTTTGGTTTTGTTCCTGACATGTTTAATTATACAATTAATTGTACAATTATGGACTTCAGGTGAGGTCTATCCCTGATTTATGAACCTGGTCTGAACAATTTTCACAGAGGCCGAAGGAGAACTGCTGTACCGTCCTGTTGTATAATAGAGTCATAGCAAACAACGACAAAAGACAACGCTTCATGGGTTTGACAGTGTTTATAAGAAATACAAAAATATGATTCGTTTCTTGTTTACATTATCTCCTCTTTCTATTCATAGAACGAGGTCTGTAACATATTTACAGACTCGTCACATGACGTCATTCCTCCAATCAGGGCTGGGAATTAACACCAATCATATATTAAAATTACAGCAGGTTGTTGTAAACCCCTGGATGTCGGAGTATTCAGGGGTCGAAATGGATCGAATTTGTTGTAAACCTCATTGACATATAAAGTCCTTGACATGTGTCCATATGCAAAATATACTCCGACCAGTTTTCATTGTGTCATGGAATTTCTCTTCCAAATAAACACATAAATTTCAACAAAATGCCATACTGTCTAATAACGAGAGGCCCAGAGGGCTTGTATTGCTCACCTGGATATGCTTAAAGTCATTGATATGAGGTAAAGATAAAGCACTCCATGGTAGGTACTGTTTAAGTGCATATGAAATTTCAGAAAAAAATCATGCAGTACTTCTGGAGATATAACAAGAACAAACTTTAAACAGACCCCCACCCTCTGCCCCCAGGGGTGGGGGGGTAGGGGGGGGGGTCACACCCACCATTTACACAAAATTGAGTCCCCTTGGCCCACGGATGCTCCAAACCTTGCAATATTCAATAAGTTTATATTTGTGTTCGAAATTATATATTTGTATTCAATAATTGTAAAAATATGTGCAATATTCAAAATTGTTATTCAATAATTGTGAATATATGTGCAATATTTAGGGCTTTTCACCAACTGGTGAAAAGACCTATTGTTTTTGTTATGTTTCTTATTCTTCTTATTCTTCTTCCCATTATTATTTTTCTTCCGTACTTTGCGGAGTCCTAATCTTTTGATTGGTAAAAGATAGGTTTATAGTCTTTAAAGCAAATTGTAGGAAAAGGTCTGAAGCTGATCAAGCAACATTTTGAAGTAGGTCAAAAATCCAATATGGCCACCATGACGTCATACCTCAAAATCTAAAAATGGCCATAACTCAAAAACGGTTTAATTTATAGAAATGATGCAATAATATTATATGTAGATAATGTTCAGGGCTAACTTTTTTCATGACATGTTAATTCAAAATATTTCTAATAAAAAAGCTCGCTGTTGGGTCAAAGGTCACCATTTTTTAAAAACATTCATTTTTCATTTTTTTTGAAAAATCGATGATCGATGTAGAATGCAATTCCGATGAATTTGATGTATTTAGTATTTCTGTAACATTTACCGTTAACGTTGTACGCCATTTTGAATATTTCCTTTGATCTTTTAAAAAATTTGCATAATATGAATGACAAATATTTGGTTTATTTGTTATGAAAAGGTTTTCTCAAATGTCCTCTAACATTTAAAAAAAAAAATCAACTTCATTGAAAAATAAAAATGGCCGCCATGACGTCATACCTCAAAATCTTAAAATGGCTATTTTACTCAAACACGGTTGAATTTACAGCCTTTAAGCACTGTCATCATTTGTAGA